CCTGCACAGGTCTCCAGTCTCCATCAGAGACACCTGGACAGGTCTCCAGTTTACCAGGGACACCTGGACAGGTCTCCAGTTTACCAGGGACACCTGGACAGGTCTCCAGTTGACCAGAGACACCTGGATAGGTCTCCAGTTGACCAGAGACACCTAGACAGGTCTCCAGTTGATCAGATACACCTGGACAGGTCTCCAGTTGATCAGATACACCTGGACAGGTCTCCAGTTGACCAGAGACACATGGACAGGTCTCCAGTTCACCGAAGACACATGGACAGGTCTCCAGTTCACCAGAGACACATGGACAGGTCTCCAGTTCACCAAAGACACCTGGACAGGTCTCCAGTTCACCAGAGACACATGGACAGGTCTCCAGTTCACCAAAGACACCTGGACAGGTCTCCAGTTCACCAGAGACACCTGGACAGGTCTCCAGTCTCCATCAGGGACACAAAGAGACAATCAACCATCCAGACTCTGTCACACCTGGAGTCACACAGAAGAGCTCCAGAAGGTTTCAAACTGAGAACTCTGGACTCAGATCATCTGCTGCACACAGTTCTGATCACTTATTATCAATAATAATTTTATTGATAATTATCATGAGGAGTCCTTAACTAGAATGTAGTTAGGCAATTAAATGTTCATGTATGTGTAAATGTATTACCATAATTGCAGGTGAGTCACGTAAACTTATGTTTTTACAAAAGAAGCATGTTGTTTTTTTGTTTTTCTGTTTTTAAAACCTAGATGTAAAAATGAAAAATTGAATTAATAGAAAATCAACAGCGTTTGATTTTTTGCTTTAGCCATCTAAATAAAAATAAAATACGGTTGTTCTTTTAATATGTAGCGATACCGAAAATAAAGTAAGTCGCCAAAGAAGGATAGTTTACAGTGGATAAAAGACGGCATAAAAACAAACCAGTCAAATAATAGGCAATGGCTGCACTTGAACCATTTTCTGCTTTTATTATCGAACTTTTTGAGAGAGGAAATACAAATGTATCAATTTTTGAACTGGCGGAATCGGAAGTGCTCAATGAAAAGAGTTTGTGCCGGGAGATCAGGTCTACATTTCCGGTTCTGCCCTAAGTTCCCATTGAATTACTAAAAACTAAAAGCTTGTCTTTGGTTTAACCATTGCAGTTAAAAATAAAAGTATACCCCTTTTTTATTTTTGCGATTGCCGTTTTTCTAATTTTGTTTTAAAAACGGAAAAACAAAAAATCACGTGCTTGTTTTGTTTTTGCAATTTTATTTTGAAACGAAAAAAACCAAAGAACGAACCATACATGGATTGTTCATCTTGATCAGGTGTAGTGTGCTATGACTTCTTTTTGTAACTTTTATACATTTCAAAAATATTTAACTTAATTAAAAATAAGATACCAAAAAGAAACCTTTGGTTACGGAGGTAACCCTGGTTCTCTGAAAACTAAGTGAGGTATCTCACTATGGAAGCACCTTCAGGCGTGACCAAATCAATGAAATCACATTCCTGTTCTCACACCACGTCTCTAAAACATTCCATTGAAGCAGGCAGTATGGTTGCTCGGCAGGACGATGGGCCGTCACGTGGTTGTTCAGCGTTCGTTGTCGCACACACCTTTCAGAGCTCCTGAGACACCCTGCGTGGATTTCCTCTAGAGAGTAAATCTGCTGTAAACAACGCTACTGAGAGGAGAAAAGTACCGAGCCGAATGAGACGACTAAATGAGAGCTGCTGCTTTGTCAGACAAATTTAATTTAATTTGGAAGCCTTATCAACACGGACAAGCTTCATTCACTTCCTCCACTGCCGTATGCTAAAACTAACTAGCAGACACTGCGCAGAAAATTGACATCGTTCAAAACTCCTCCTCCTGTTTACTGATTGGTCCAGGTAAAAATAAACTACAAGCAGACACTGCACAGAAAATTGACGTTCTGTTCTCTGATTGGCTCGAATGAAATTCCCCCAGAGAAATCCTTGACTATGGGGGAAGTCCCAGACGGAGAAGTGAAGGAAACTAGAATTGAGCGGAGCTACGTAGGAAGACAAGGACCATAGTGATGTGCAGATCGATACTGAAATATTGATACTACCGATACCAGAACTTTATGCTCTAGAATCGATACTAAAATCGAAATATCAATACTTTGATACTTTATTTATTTCACATAATGTATATCATTAACAGGAAAATAGTGGAAAATAACTAAACTATTCCAATCTTGTCTTGAACATGTGGTTGGAGGGAACTACTTTTTCTTCCGCTTGAGTAATGCATCAGCACAGTGGCACGTGCTCCGTCAGTCACTCAGTCCGTACGTGTATGGCAGGTCATTTTAACATAAAATCTGCTTCTTCTGACGGTCTGTAATTACATTCTTGATGAGGGGTTCCCAATCTTTTTCATGCCATGGCCCCCAAACAGCATCAGCTCTGGCCAAAGACCTTCTTGAAAACCCACAAACAATGCTACAAAATATATAAAGTAACAATTTTTAAAATACTTTTCCTCACTTTTATTCACTATTCAAAAATTATTAAATTTCTTAAGGATAAGAATATATAAATTGTGCTAAACAAATATAAGGTTAGGGTTAGAAAGACTTTTAAATTAATAAATGACTTAATATGTCATGTATTATTTATAAAGCAGTTATTTATAAAGCGGTTATTTATAAAGCGGTACTTTTTAACATTTACCAGACATTATGTGTGTCATCACAAAGTATCAGTATTGGATCAGTATCGCCGATACCAGACAAATTTTACTTTGTATCAGTATCAGAAAGAAAACTGGCAGTATTGAACATCACTAAAGGGCCAGCTAGGTTTTGGCTACTGTTTTGTTTGTTTAAGCATTAAGCTTTCAGCTATGTTTATGCAACTTTTAAATAGTCTTCTACCACCTTTAGCATTTAGTTACCGTTTTACCATTTTTTAAGGTTTATTTTAGGTTTCAGACAGTTATGATAATTTTAGCTTTTAGCTCTGTTTTTGCAGCTTTTAATTTTTAGTTACTGTTTAACTAGTCTTTGTTTTTAGCTACTGTTAGTTAATCTCAGTCTGTAGTTCCAGTTTTACCAGTCATAATTCAGTTATCTTATTTTATATTTTTAACAGCTCAGTTTGAACTTCTTCAGTAAAATTTAGAGAAGTCTTTCAGCTCTCACCATTCACACAGAAAACACTCCAGCATATGAGCCTTAAGGAGGATGCTTTGATGGTAAATCTCCAACCTGACGTCACTGTAACACTGACGCCAACAGAGACAGAGCAGCCTGCCAACAATAACACTGACATCTCTACACAGGTTATCTAGTGTTTTATGTGACGGCTCCCAGCACAATGAGCCATGTCAGACAGGAAGTGATGGATCTGACTCAACAAGCTTTGCCTTAATAAGATCAAACTGAAACCTTCCTTCTCTAACAAAAAGAAAATCCTGTGTTTAAAGACTTCAAGACTAATAATTGTTTTCTTTGAGATCCTTGTGTTTTCAATGAAGTGGGCTTTTCCTTGATCTGCACAAAAAATTAGAAAAACAAACTGAAGGTTTGAACCTCTGACGTTTCAGGCCCAGACTGAAACATTTTAAAAAGTTGTATAAGTGTTGAAGTGCTCCTCCTGGCTGAACTTTGACATGTGATAGACCTCAATTGTCATATCTTCAGGTTTGGACTGTCACTGTTAGAGCAGCGAGGCTTTAAAGAATCTCAGAAATTCTCCAGCTACTAAAGTGACCTTCTGTCTGTCTGTTGGTGTTTACAGCGAACAGAAGCCAGAGTGGCCTGCAAGCTGTTAGCTTTCTCACAAAAATGATGGCAGCAGGTTTTACAGCTCAGCAACTTGAAAATAGTTTGGAATTCTTTGCATGTTTGGATTAAGTCTTGTTAAGGAGTTTACATTTTATAGGTAATTATTATTAAGAACAAGACAAAAGCATGCATTGGGCATTTTTCAAACCTGATTTTTCACACATTAAATGTGCTTATCTCCATATTGATAGTGTTTGTTTTAGAATGTGAAAGCTGTTCATTACAAAATAAAGATTTTATGTTGTGGAGAAATGCACTGAACTCACCACCAGTGTAAGGCTTCCAGCTATAGTACTTCCCACGAAAAGGTAAACTGTCAAAATCTGCACACTGCTTCTCTCGAAAATCTCGAGCTCCTACATGGCACACCTGCAATGCATCGCAGAAAAAAGAAACAGTTTATACAATGCTTTAACATTTTTTCATTTCTATGTAATAAACTCTAAAAGTCATTAGCCAGCTGCTGTAAAAGGTGATGTGTAAAGAAACTAGCTTTTGAACTCTGGAGACACTGTGAAGAAGTCTGGAACACATCTTCTTCCTCGAATCAGCCTTTTTGCTTCCACCAAATCAGAAAGTAGAAATTAAATAAAATAAAACAATTTTTGCAATCTTTCATACCTATATTTTAGACTAAGATCATCTTATGCTGAGATATAAGGGTTGTAACTGTTTTGGCCAAAGCTCAAAAATACTGTTTCATGCAAATATTGTGGATACATGTTATTTTTTTTTTTTTT